ACACTGAACACATTTTTGAAGCAACCTGCGCTGCCTTTTAGACGCCGTCTTTTTCAGGGATGTTCATGCTTACTGAACATGAAAACAGCTATCCAAGCATGCTGCATTATTAAGCTCAAAATTTGACAACGAAGGTCCTGTAGAGTTGCGCAGCTAGTCACTTTTATAATAGAAGGATGGCAAAAATTGTTCAAAGGAAACACAGTGGTAAACATGCTCTTGTTCCAAATTTGGAATAACCATACGTTACAGGTAAAACAAAATATTGTGTTTTTTGTATGGTCTTCGATTTAATACAGGTCAAGCGGAATTTACTGACGACTGCTTTCAGGTTTCATTAGCATTTCAAATGTCTTGCCAACTTTTTTGGAACCGGGTTTGTACACTATACGGTACATCTCCTCAACATTGTTACATTTTAATAAAGTACAAAGATTTTGTCGATACGCTAAACAGCTAATTTGGGCACATTCTGTCACACTAAGCTGAGAAGTGGAGTCATGTTGATCTATTATCAGGGTAGTTTATTGCCTGCATTTGTGATTCTGTCAGACTAGCTAAACTGTTTTATTAAAATCATATTAGATTATACTACGTTATTCCAACATCATAATGCCATTCAGATCTGATTACACTTCTGATAAATGTAAGAAATCTAAATCCATCCCAAAACTGACCATCCCCTTTGAAAAACTGGCATCTCTGCTTTCCATCCCCTTTGGATCAGTCCGTACCTTGATATCATCGCTATTTTAATTCCATCCATGTTTGAGATTTGCGCACCATGTTGTTCTGCAAGTATCAGGAGTTATTCATATATAAACACAGCTTACAATTGAGGCAAAGCACGCATGCATTGATTTGGAGGCGGTGATGCGCTTTCGCTTTTCATGGGAGTGTTTTGGGCTGCTGCAATTAAGCCTTTATATTCAGAAAAGGCAAAGCGAACACAAGAGATACAGCAAAGTATGTAGACTTTCTTTAAAAAGAACCTGCATTAACCAGATGTGTGGAGTTAATGTAACAGCAAATTCGAGCTTTTAATCTTGGAGGGATTCTTATGGGACCACTCCATATTGCACTGATGAGGCTATATGACTTAAATAGACATGCTAGAGTGCTAACTTGCTGGCTTCGATTGGTAAAAAGGCCCAGCTTTACACGGTGAAACTTTCGTGCAACTAGTTGCATGTTGTGAGTTGCATGCAACATCATTTCTCCTGCTTGAAGCAATTAGCACTAGTTAGCCAAATTAGCAGCTTGTATTTTTGATATATTGTTCTCACTATGTAAAGTCATGTTTTTTTATATTTGCATATATATATATATATATATATATATATATATATATATATATATATATATACATTGCATTTTTCATTTTTCTGTAATTGTCCATGCTGTCATTTCTCTTCTTTTTTATCTATCTATCTATCTATCTATCTATCTATCTATCTATCTTTTTTTATTCTGTTCTGTACTGCAATTTCGTCAAGGACCGCAACATGATCTTCAAATGAAAGCCAAAAGAATCAAACTGTGTAAAATTAGGGAGCTACAAGAAAGGACAAAGAGAATAATCTAGCTACAGAGCAGGCTGTCTTTACACAATGAAAGTTTCATGCAACTTTAGTTGCTTGAAACCTACACAGAACTAAATTGTGCTTAAATTCCATAACGCAAAGCATCTTGCAACTCAGCCGCAACAGTTGCTGGCGGCTCAACTGAAGTTCCATGAAACCAATCAATTTTCAATGCATTCTGTCATCACATCGAACGATGTGCTTCGAAATGACTGAATTGAGATGGTTGCAGCCGTTGCACTTTCAAATAAGAGGCAGGATGCTTTACAATAAATAATGTGAAATAACTCGAGTGAAATTTCGTTGCATGTAAGTTTCAAGCAACTAAAGTGGCATGTGAATAAAAAAGAACATAATATATAAAAAAAAAGTGGCATTAACCCACCATCCCCCCTTGAAATTAGCGAAATTACTGTCCAATCACTGGGCACAGCCCTACCCCAAAACACCAGGCCATCAGTTCTACAGATGCTGAGTTTCTCAGACTCCTTACTGCTGACATCTCAGAGTTTTGAGTGAAGTCTCTTGGAGTGCTCTGTTGAGTGCTACTCCACTTTAAATGCTCACTCACTCGCATCACTCTAGACTAGCTCAGCCTCCCTCTCTCTCTGCGTTCCACAGCAAATGTTACTTCTCTGCTCATTAACTACCTGCTAATTTTCAGCCCGGTGAGTCTTTCCTGAGTTGAAGTTTAAGTTCTTCTTGCCTTTTTTCCCCCTTCTTCCCCTCCATTCTCGCTTCCTCTCTGCACATCGGCGGGCGCTAAACAACATGCATAATGCATGCATCTCTCATTAGGGTGATTGTCGCAGGAAAAACATCGGCGGGCTCGCGGCGGGGTTTTCTACGATTCCAAAAAAATTACGTTTTCAAGGGCCTGTTTTCTTTTGTTTCTCTTTTTCTCCCCCCTCCCTTCCTCGCTTTATTTATCAAAGGCTTTGCACAATCAGCCATCATTGCGGACGGGAGGGCTGCGGGGAAACAGATGTTTACTGATTAAACGTAAGCGGCGTGCCAGCGTGGCTGTATTACGGCCCATTCACGGCGCGAGAAAGGACAGGAAAAGCCAGGGGAAGAGAAAAAAGAAGAAAAAAAGCTGGAAAGGAAGAAAAAAAAAAAAGCTGACGAAACGCAGGCCAGTCGACGAGCCGCCTTCTCTGCAGTGCCGTTTGATTGTTGAGATTGTTCTTCGGGGGGATAATTCCCTCCCTCAACTACTTTTTTCAGATTTAATGTGGTGCTTATCCCAAACTGCACTAACTCACAATCAGAGCCACAGTTTACACAAGCACTCGCATCCAGGGCAGGATTAGGGCTGAGCGATTGGACCAGAAATCTTTTCACGATAAGGCGTTTTCCAGTATCATTCAGTCTTGATAATAATCGACTATTATTATATCATTGCTGTACTTGTATCTCCAAAACGGTAATAATAATTTATCTAAAACACGATATGGATTCAAATCTGATACACAATTTTTGGACTCACTGTTATAAAAAGTAGTGGAATGAAAGGCCAAAAAATTGACCCCTACATGTACTTCTTGTAGATGCTCCTAGAAAGCTTTCAGTGACATATAAGCATTTACATATGTTTCCCACACCGTTATAAACTGGTCATTTGCATGGTGGAGACACAAAAAAAAAATACTGACAAAAAATTGTCAAAGCAAATCAATTTTGCAAAAGCACTGAGACAGAAATATCAGAGGAGGTATCAGTTTTCGCATAAGATAGCAACAGTATGTATTTTCTAATGTTGACTATTAAGTCTAAATACAACTGTATTTACAATTGTATCTGTATTAACTCAGATGTAATCGATCAGCCGAGACGTTTGGGGCCGAAATTTTGCTTCTTTAGTTCAGCACTGGAGGCTAACGTTACTAACACTTGAAGTCAATAGTCACCCAAATCTTTTGTGCAAATACGTCCCTAAAATCTCTGTCAACCCGCTCAAACTGTATTCAGGAGTTCATTAAGGTTTTGCAGGCTTGTTTTTGTGGTTTAGGACACAGAAAGAACAAAACTTTACAATGTAGCTTAACACTGTGGACAGCCACTTCAGTCAGCAGGTGCGACCTTAATGAAAATGTGGATGCAGTTTGAGCAGGTTGAGAGAAATTTTGGGGATATATTTACAAGAAAGATTTGAGTGAGTATTGGAGACTACATATATATATATATATATACACATACATAATTGTCATTTTTGTTTTATTGGCCTAGGCCAGGGGTCTTTTACTGCCCTGTTACGGCTCCACAGCAGAATTAGAGATAAGAATAATCCTCCTTTGCAGTAAGGTAAAGCTTTTTAACAATAAATGGTCTTAACCTCTGGAGTTATATATATAACTGCTAAATCACCCTTTAACCCTGAAGGCTGCCGCGCAGACAACAATCTCGCCTAGCTAGTAGCTAACGAAAGGGCAAAGAGAAAGATTTAAGACGAACATCGATAATTTGGAGATTAATTCTTTTCATTAAGAATTACTCCAGCTGGTTTCCTGATACGTTTCATCTGCAACGAGAAACTGTCAAACACTAAAAAGTCGCAAAGCTGAAGTCAGCTTCTTGTTCGAATTTTTATGTTCCACCTTAAATGGTGCAACAGTTACATAGTTAGCTACATAGTTAGCTACATTCTGGCGCCTCAGGCACCACTTGAGGTGAGCAGGAAAATTAGAACAAGAAGCTGGTGCACGAGAAGCTGACAGCTTCATAAAAAGTTGAACGTTGAGAGACATTTTGCAAGAAACTGTTCTACTTTTTTGCAGCAAAGTTTTCTGCCAGAGATGTGAGAAAAGCAGCTATGACTGAGCTAAAACTTAAAGCAGAGCAAAGTTAGTCTGTGTTTTCATTTATATTATATATTTTTAGCCTATATTAGTACATCAGCACATACTGAGACTTATTTACAGTCAAGCCGACATTACTTCAATTAAATGGATATAAAAATGTTCTGGCTCCCAAAGTGGTTAGATTTTTGTTGAAACTTGACAAAATGGCTCTTCTTAACATTTGGGTTGCTGATCCCTGGCCTAGGCAGGAGGGGAGGGGAGGAGAGGGAGGACTGAAAGAGGGGCAGGAAGTTTTAAAAATGAAAACAATCCTGGACCTGTTGCTTATGGACCAGCAGTCCTGTTTACATTGCCTATTCCAGTGCCCACCTGCTACTGCGTTTCAAGTTTGGCCAAACGTAATGGAACTGTGGCACAGTGAGCCGCCTGTCCTGCATTAGCCTCTAATGGCACTTCTGTGTCCATCTAAACACAAGGTCCACTCGTGCGCTGCGAAAGAACATCTCACCAGACAGTCTGGAGAGACAGACAGACATCCGTTCCAAGAATGTGGTTTTGAAGAACAGCGGTGCTCTTGCTCAAGTGTAACCTTCCCATAAATCTTCCCAGGCGTTCATTACAATGCACTTGGCAATCATTTATTTTCCCCTCATATTTCTATTTTACAATTTACAAACTAGATAAAAAAGACCATAAATAAATGACATGTTTCATGTACCTAAAATCATTAAAATAAAAAAAGAGAAAAAAAAACAATGGCAGTATACATAGATGCAAGTAAGCACAATGTTAATCCATATGACTAGATTAACAGAGAAAACAAATTCGATGTGTTAGTTCGATTCCCCAGAATAAACTACATTAAGAAGCTTGGCACAATACATTCTATAGATCTCAACCTCCCCCACATTCCTTGCATATTCCAAACAGGTCCTCAAAGGCTGAGAGTGAGCAGTGAGGAAGAAAAAAAAAGAAAGATTTAAGGAAAGGAGCAGATTCTGGGGTCGGAGGCTTGTGAATGCATCACACTGACAACCCCTCATGTTAAACAAGAAAAGCCTCGCAGATAGAACGGGATGACATGAATCATGAAACAAGTGAAATGTCAAGAGTCTTTTTCCCTTTTCATAAACATTCCTGCAAAAAGTTTATCCTAGGTACAAATGTGCCTTTTTCCACTGTCCAGTTTCCAGGCTGTTCCCTTTAGCTTTATTATCTTCTGAACTCACAAATGACTTCCACAGCTCCAGGAGGGCTGTGTTTTAGCTACAGTCTCTGGAGAATTCCTTGTGTTGGCAGAGGAAACAAAAAAAACAGCGTGGTTTAACAAACAGCGAACCATTCTGGCGTTTTGTTTTCCAGCAAGTAGCCACAACTTAGCACTCTGTAGTCTTAGCACACGCTGTATGCATGTCCTCTTTGTGTGTGCGTTTTTCTCAAAACAAACTGTCATCCTTGAAAGAACAGAAAGCACATGAAGAGCACACTGAGCTGAGCGCTAGTAGTCTGCATGTTGCTAGCATACGTGACAGCATGCCTTGCAACTGTGCAATGCGGAAAGCAAAAAGATAAAACCCAAAATATGTAATCATGGATTGAAGAATCCTCTCCTCGGCTTGTCTGACGTTTGTTTGGCCTTCTCATGCCATTGGACCCTGGGAATTGTCCTGGGAATTGGAGTCCTGGTCCCAGTGAGGAAGCAGTCGTGATATGAGGCTTGCCGTGTTTTGGCGCTGAGGCGGTGAAGGATATCGCTCCGCTGCAGACGTACCGAGGCTGACACTGTGGAGAGACGAGAAGAGAGAGAAAGCGAGTGAGTCGGGTGTTCGAGACTCACTGTTTCAACACTCAAGGGCACAAACAAAGCATTAACTGAAGTAATCCTTTGAGCATGGAAACAGAAATTGCTCTGTTTTGCTCTGTTGCTGGGACGCTGGGGAGAAACACATTTCTCCAGTTTGGCTACAGGTTCTTTTATTGTTTTTTTGGTAAGAGCGTCCCGCTGAACAGCGCTAGCATCTGCCAGCAACTCATCTCTGCTGGTATGAATCCCACCTAAGGAGTGGATAAATAACGGTGGGGTGCCCGAAAGGAAACGGAGCAGATCTCGTAAATGGCGGGACGGGCCCGTGCCTCTGTGCTTACCTTAGCTCCGTCCTGCCGCAACTTCCAGTAAGTGAGACGTGTGAGGATTTCATGGCCTGTCGGGGGTCTTCGGATAGTTGGTTGGGGGGGGGAGAAGAGAAAGAGAGAGAAGGAGATGGAGCAAGAGAGTGAGAACAAGGAAGAGGTGGGGGTGGGGGGTGGGGGGGTGCCTTGGAGACCAAGTTGGAGAGAGAGAGAAAGAGATGTAAACTCAGTGCAGCATTCTCTAATCCAAGCGGTGCGCATGAGTTCCCAGCCAAGCGGAGCGGGGAGAAGAATTGCGGAGTGGAGACAGATATTCCATTTCAAAGGGTGGGGAAAACTGGAGAGATTCCAGACCCAGTTCCATTCCGTATGCGTTGAAGACGAATGCCTCTCCCCCAGCATGATAAGCACACAGAGCCAGAAACCCCAGAACAAAAAAATAAAGAGCTCAAAAATGTCTAACACTTCTCATACCGCCATTTTACAGCCCCCGCTTTAAATCGCCAGGTGCACTGACTCAGCTAAAAATTGACGAAATGGCAGGAAAAATGGCACAGGGGGGGAAATAAATCCAAAAGATCTACTTATTTACATACTGACACATACATACAAAAAAAGGTGGAGCAGAGAAAAAGAGCATGCCCTCTTAGTTCCACTGTCTAGCAAAGGCATGGTCAAAGAGCCTTCTAGAATAATATCCAGTATGTCACAACACCATGAGGCGGAGATTCCTCCAATCGAAATGGCTGGGTGCCTTCATCCGAAAAAGTGCTGTGTAATTTCGCCGTTCTTGTCTTCAGTTGCTCCTCTTTCTCCTCTTGTCGTTTGTTTTTTTTTTTCTTCTTCTTCTTCTTGAACAATTTCAATTTAAAGTGCATGGATGAGGTAAATGGATTTCCTTTCAAAAAACAAAAAAAAAACCAAAAACAAGAAAAGAAAACAAAGTATGTTTTGAGTTTCGTCTTCCGATACTGTGTGTTCAGACAGGAACCATCCTGTCCTGTATCTGTTGCATCTGGGACAGAATTCCCTGTGCGCTGCTGAGGATCTTGTCCTGGTGTGCGGTGGAGCAGATCCCTATCCTGGTCATGTCTCTGTTTGAGGGGGAAAAAAAAACAAATAATGGAGAAGTGATGAGAATAGCCAGCCACAAGCACATGATCTAAACACTAAAAAGGCTTCTATTTGGTTATTTGGATTTTATGCTACAAGTTTCTCCACAGCTACACCAAACCTCAAACCAGTACACCAAGTCTGTTCCAAATGAAATGAAAGCTCTCCCTCGTTTCTCGTTGCTGAGCTCCTTGGAGGACAATCTGGCTGAACAGGAGAACTAAGAGCTGAATCCTGACCTGAGATTTGCATGCCAAAGGCGATTTTCTCAGGAAAAAAAAAAAACAAAAAAACGCTCCATTTCTATCTATAGGGGCTTTTGTATGGAAATGTGATTTCTGAGCCCATAAGTCAAGGCAACATGTCCCCAAGTGCTGATTTGAGAGTGAGTTTCCATGGTCCTGCATTAATCATGATCACACCGAGAGCACACTGTGTCCAACACGCACACACACACACACTCTTACCACTCTATCGACGCAAGTCGTCACAGTGCGAAAGTTGCAGGACTTACTCTTGCGTCATGGAGACCACAGCTTCTGGGGTGGTGTAGCCGGCGGCGGTGAAGTTGTCCCGGTAACGTTCCATGTTGATGGCCTGTAGCCAATCAGAAATGGAGCCCAGGGGAGAAGAGAACTCTGGACTGCTGGGTTCTAGAAGGGTCGTGTTGGGTCTGAGAGAGAGAGAGGGAGAGAGAGAGAGAGAGAGAGAGAGGGAGAGAGAGAGAGAGAGAGAGAGAATATGTAATTGCTGTGCTAGGGAACTGCCCACATTTACTGAGTCTTAGAGGCTCAGTGGGGCATATAAAACTTTATAACCATATGCATCAGTTCATTGGAACACATTTACAGATCTAGCATGAAACACCTCTCAATGCTATAGCAATCATTAAAAAAAGAACAAAGTCCTAACAAGAACAATTCACTGTTCAAGCTTGGACCTCTAGCCATAGCAAAGTCTGCTTATGACATTCACTGACTTGATCCATGGACGCTATGCTTTTATCACAGCGTGTGAAACATCGTACCTGGCTATTTCTCCACCGGTCCTTTTCAGGCTGTTGGGGTTGCGGATGAGTTTGTCCAGCATGTTAACGATCTGGCTGAACTTGGGCCTCTCGGCTCTCTCTTTTTGCCAGCAGTCTAGCATCAGCTGATGCAAGGACACAGGGCAGTCCATTGGAGGGGGGAGTCTGTAGCCCTCTTCAATCGCTTTTATGACCTGAGAAAAAGAGCAGGAGAAAGAGAAGGTGTGAGAAAATGAAAGGTCAAAAAATGACCCCCCTAGCAAGTCTGAATCAGTGTTCCTGAAAGTCTCGCCACACTCACATCCTGGTTGCTCATATCCCAGTATGGCCGCTCTCCGTACGACATCACCTCCCACATGACGATGCCGTAGCTCCACACGTCGGAGGCCGAGGTGAACTTCCTGTAGGCAATGGCCTCTGGGGCCGTCCAGCGAATGGGGATTTTTCCCCCCTGCGATTGATAGGTTCCCATTATTTCCTTTCAAAAGACACAACAAAACACGTGCACCGAGGTTAATCACGCACACCCGCATGCACACAGGGCAAAGCAGCACTAGGGTTAGTAACGTTACACTTCACAAGCCGCGTAGAACATAAAAATATGGAGCTCTTTGGCTCTTTTACACTCTAAAACCTTACCCTTGTTGTGTAGGCTGCATCAGGGTCTTCCTCCAGCACTCGAGACATGCCGAAATCAGACACTTTACACACCAGGTTGCTGTTGACCAGGATGTTCCGTGCAGCCAAGTCACGATGGACGTAACTCATGTCCGACAGATATTTCATTCCTGATGCAATTCCACGTAGGATTCCGACCAGTTGGATAACCGTGAAACGCCCATCGTTCTTCTGTGAAAAAGGCAGCACACCGGCAGGTTACATCAAATAATAACTAGAGAAAGAAAAAGCTCCAACAGGTAACAAGGTCATGGGAATGGTGGACTCACCCTAAGGAAAGCATCAAGGGAGCCATTCTCCATGTATTCGGTGATTATCATTACTGGTTTACCTACACAAAAAAACAGCTTTCAGTTAAACATGTCTAGTGCCGCTAAATTTTGGAGTAGTTAAAAATAAGCACCAAAAAACTGTAAACAAGCAAAACATAGAAGGAGATCATTTAGCATTTTGCAAAAGAAATCATGTGAACTTGTCCCCACTGTTAGCCGTCTTCGCTTAGTGAAATATTCCCTTAATCTACTGCGGTATGGACTGTCATAATTCAGCTGCCATAGACTTCTTCTAAAGTCATGCATATAAAGCAGGTGTGCCACTGGTACAGCTTTCTCCCCCCACATCTATCCCTTATTCCTTCTCTTTTGTTCCTTTCTTCCACCTCTTCTCCGTCAGCTCTACTTAATAACTCCCTAACAATCAGCAAACCCATCTGCTAAACAAACACCATCTTCTCTCAGCCAAGTCTCCATGGAGGCTGTCTCATGAATGGTAATCAACTCTGGCACATATAAACAAAACGCAGAAGCAGGAAAACCTAATCAAAAACTTAAAAAAATATAAAAAAAAAAAACACTCCACACCCTATGCACCATAAGCAGATTTTCATTTTTGTGGCTCAATGTCCCTGCGCTACTGTGAGTAAATGAGTAGGTATGAGAAGAAAGAAAACTTTTTGGTTAAAAAAAGTGCTAATCTGATGTTCTCAAAGCGCTCAGTGGCTTTGAGTGACATTTCCCAATCAAGCTTGAAACTGCCTGAGCGGACGGCCCCTCCTCGTTTCTCACACTTGCTCGCTCTTCCTCTCCTCCATCTTATTTGCATCGGTGTTTTTTTCCTCCTCTGTGTTTGTTTATTGAATGCGTCCATTGCGGTGGGGCTATCAGGCCTCCATTCCAGAATTACCTGCCAGTCAGTGCTGAGACAAGAGAGCGCTATGGCAACGAGAAACCCCTTTTATTGAGATGGGGGACAGCAGTGTGATGGCTTTACAATGGAGGACAGTCTCACACACACATACAGGCTCTCTCGGAGAAATCATTGCGGTGTTAAAGCGGTGGCTTCATTATGCAAATGTAATCTTGCAATCTTGCATTTAGCGCCCACCATTCCTGTCTCTGAATGCTTCCTTTAGGGACGGCTGGCATCTCTCTCTCTCTTTCTCTCTCTCTCCCTTAAGCTTGGGGGCATTTTGTGGTTATTTATTCAGGACACTTTCAACATCATTAGTAATTTAACACATTTAATTGGCCCTGTTGGAGATGCGGGCTATGAGCGGAGGGGCCGCCATTGTCTGTCAGCAATAACAATTAGCTTGAGCGCTCTTCAGTCAGGCCGCAGCTTTTATGAGTGCAGGACTAGTACTGCCATTAATAAAACTAACAGCTCTCACCACGCTAACCAGGAGACAGCAGCTAAAGAGACCCCACAGCTAAAAGAGCCACTTCAGGACATGGGCGAGCAATGCATCTTCTCTCTCTCTCTCTCTCTCTCTCTCTCCCTCTCTCGCTAGCCCATCTCTTGGCAGTGTCCTCCCCAATGCATAACTTAGAGAGGATATCTGCCAGGCCTGTCCACAAGAGAGATAGGAGCCAACAGGCTGGCCACATGTGTGCCTAGTCTTTCTCCTACATCATAGTATCCCTACACATGGCTATTAGCTCCCCTCATCCTCAAAAAAGGAAAAAAAAAATGGAAGAAAAGTCTGCATTCCTTTCCCATCCCCAGGCTGCCTCTCCCAGTATGGCTGTTGAAAGGACTTGGAGTAAGTGAGGCATCACAGAGGAGAAATGTTATGCTTGTCTACTGTTCATTAAACAGTGATGAAGGCAGCTTAGTAGTTAGACAACTCCACTTTGACTTAAAGAGGTCACAGGGCTGCACGATATGGACAAAAGTACCATACTGTGGTTATACTGCTACTGTGATATGCTTTGCAATATATTAAACATACAAAGGTAAACTCATAATGTTGCTTGATGGACGTGGTTAAAGACCTGCATTTTTTTTTATTTAATTTTTTCGGTGAAACAAACCTTTGATTTATCCAAACACCATCAGAACCTCAACTGGAACATCAATGACTGGGCAAAGTGCTCATAGCACAAAAGTCTAGTTTGATAGAGGGCGCATTTGCATAATTTTTATGAAGGCCTTTTATTGCCTTCTGCTATAAAAGTCTAAAATCAAGATAATAATTAACAAATGATATACTGCTCAGCCCAAGTCTCAGCACAGCTAACAGGACCAGCCATAGTGTCCTTGAGCAAGGTTCCTGCGTCTGTGCTGCTGGGTAATTCAAGTTGCTTCGGGCAAATATGTCAGTCAAACGAATAAATGTGCATTAAGCTTCCCCATACAAATGCAACTAACCCTGTAAGAATTATGGCAGAGGATGAACTTTAAAAAGTTTGTGTTTAATTCATATAGACAAGCGGATACTTTCAATCGATAAAGCACTATTAAAAATTTTGATGTCAGACCAACCAGCCTGCCAAGATTCTGCTCTGGAAAGAGCAGCGGCCATTATAAAATACAAGTTTGATTTCCATCAAGTCAGAAAAAAGAGACTGCGTAATTTTTTAAAGCCGGGTGCCAAATGGCAATTGCGACGCAAACAGCAGACAGGCATCAATGCTGGGCAATTTACAAAGTGGAGCAGCAGAACAACAATGACGCCCAGCTTGAAACCAAACCCTAAAAAGTTGTGAAATTGTTAAGATCAAAAATGTCTGAGCTGTCGACTTCCCAAAGTGGGTGAACCAGTTTCAGCTTTAAGAGATAAAGGCTTGAAAAGTCTCCAAGTCTTGCAAAAGGCAGCGAGACTGAAGAAGCAGACTCTGCTTATCCGCTTTGGGCTGAATTTTATTATCCTTCTTCAAACAGTAACTTGAGGATAGCCGGACTGAGGACTCACATTTGGTGACCACTCCCTCCAGCCGGATGATGTTGGGGTGGTCAAACTGACCCATGATGCTGGCCTCGCTCAGGAAATCCCTCCGCTGCTTGTCTGTGTATCCAGCTTTGAGGGTTTTGATGGCCACACAGATTTCTCTCTTGCCTGGCATCTTCAGGCGGCCACTGCACACTTCACCAAACTCTCCTAAGGAAAAGAGATACACGCCAGACTGAATTATGCTGTCAAATATTCAAATACAACATTTACGTTTGCGCAATTTACCAGATGTTCTTATCCACTTAGTAAGGTGCTTTGTTGTTTATTTGTAAAAAAAAAAATACCCTTGAGCTAAGACACAGCCACAAACATAAGTCAGTGCTGATACCTAAACACACAGAAATTACAATACAATACACTACTTTTAAAACATTCATGATAAAATTGAGTTGGCCTGTTGCAGAGTTTGTACTAGTTGCCAGCATCAGTGTTGGGGGAGAACTCTGGATACATTGTGAACTGTGAATGGGAAGCAGCAGGCAGGCTTCTTACCGATCCCGATGACCTTTTCGATCTTAATGCAGGAGGCGTCGATCTCTTTGGCGAATTCGCGGACGGCTTGGTTGGGGTCCTCATAAGTGAAAGGGTCCACATAGATTCGGACCCCTGTGGGCAGAGAGAGGGAGGGAGGTGGGTGAATGTGAGAGAGACAAGGAGAGGAGAGGAGAAAGGGGGAGGCAGGCAACATGAAGAATACACAACATCTGTTTCCCATTCTCGTGCCGTTTCCTGCTGTCCAGAATGCCCATCTCTGGATTCACCTCCTTCATTTTCATTGCCATCCAGCGCACAATGACCAAGAGATTTTACTCTGTGAGTGTATTTGGCTACAACTAACTATTATTTGTGTAATCTATTAAACTATCGACTATTATTTGATCGGTCAACTATCGTGTCTGTTTTGGTTGCTTTCCATTTTTATGCTGCCATCATTTAATATTCTGTGTGACAAGTGTTTTATTTCAAAACAACATGCTTCCTGTCGTGCACGGCAATCAGTCAGAATAGCTGTGTGTATTATATGAACATCATATAGCATCACTGCAGCCCCAGTGGGTGTGGGCAGTGGTTCCTCCATACCTGGGTGAAGGTGCTTCTCTTCATCTGAGTCCTGCTTGGCTTTGCTGTATTTACTCCTCCTAGAGAAAACAGAAAACAAAGATGGGCTTTTAAAGCCTGCAGCTTGTTGTCACTGAGGTCGTTCAGAAACAAAAGGTGAGAAAGATGGGTAGGCATTGGTATGCTGAGTTTGTGTTATCTGTGGCCACCTGTCCCTCCTGCAGAGCAGGGAGGCATAAACTCAGAAAGGCTGCTGTTACTGCAGAGCCAGCACAGAACACCTCAAGGGTGCCTCTACAAACTACTAACTCCAGCCTTTCAGTTTAGCGCAGGGGAACCCATGAGGGTTCATAGAGAAAGAAGAAAGACAAGCAGCGTCTGAAATTAAAACCTGGGAAAAACTGGGATGTGGTGTGGCAAACTGTCATTCCACCCACCATATTGGAAGATACATTTTTTGTATTACCAAATAGTAACATGTTGAATTTCTGTGATATCCTTGATGTAACCCAAAATCAAATTAATGGGCTGTCAATGTTGTGCTTCACTCTCTGTAGCACTGAATTTTGATACTGGCCAATTATGAAGATGTTTAATTCTAATGTCACTTATTTTCACCATGATTTCAGAGGTGGCAGGTAAAAAAATATCATTAATCTGCCACAGTGTTTGGTTGAGAAACAGTTTCAGGCCCTGACGACAAGACAAAGGGCACACAGGAAATGGCCAAAACAGTCAATCCTGTCCAAACGCAAATACACACCCACACCCACACATGACCAATTACTCCCCCTGCTCAAAAGCTCCAGTTACCCTGGGGGTCACCTGGCTGAGGCCCACCCAGAGCAGTGAAGCACAATAGTTCTGATAGAGGCCCCAAACAGAAGCAGCAGGAGCCCGGGCATCCCCTGCTGAGCCGCAGGGTCACCTGGGTGAGTGTGTGGCGAGGGGCGGCTGAACTAAAGCAACCTTTTCAGGAATGCGGCAGTGTTGTTATTGTTTTCCTAGTGCAGTCTGGCGTTGACAAAAGCCCCCTGAGGTGGGCAGGAAAGAGGGAGAGAGAGTTTATGTGTGACAGAGAGAGAGAGAGAGAGAGAGAGAGAGAGAGAGAGAGGGAGGGAGAGGTGATGGTGGGAGATATCCACAGGTAGAGCAGGAGGAGGAGGAGGCTAGGCTTTAACGCCTGAGCGCTCCAGTGCAGTTCTAAAGAGCCTCGGCTGTGCGTGTATGTGTGTAAGAGGACAGTGTCGTCATCCCGAGAAACCAATCCAGCAGTCCTGCCCTCGTCCTGCAACTCCCCCGCCCCCTGCCCCTGCTCCGACTGGCCAGCCTGAACGGCCAGTCCTTGTTATTTTAGGCACAAGGAGATTATCAGGTGTGCCATCCAAATTCTACAGTGACAACCTGCCTGTGTTCTCGAATTGAATAAAACATCTAAAATACCTCTGATCATTTATTGTGATATATATATTTTGATCTACTCTGTGTAAGTTGTTACTGAATAAAATAACAATGATTATTAATATGGCAAGTGCTTCCAAATTTCTGAACAGTAGTGTAAAAACACACACAGAAGCCCATCTACCAGCCCTCTGGAGAACAGGCCAGCCAAGGTAAGAAAGAAAAAAGAGAGACACAGTAGAGGTGTAGTCTTCTCTCTAATAGGACAGCAACCAGTGAGGAAGTGCCTAATGGGTGCTAGGGGAAAACAAAGAGCCCATTCATTAGGCTGATTTGTATTTGGGAGTGTGAATGAGGGAGATGCTGCTTTTTCAGCCCTGCTAAGGCAGACCCACCTGCATTGAGCTGATTATCGTGGCTGATTGTGCTACAGTGTCAACTGTTGCAAAGAGGTAACGCCATGGGATGAAAGGCGTCTCTTTGGGAAGCTGTTAGTTAACCCTTTGAAGTCTTACTTATTGCTGGTGATGACAAAAGCACTGTATTTTTATTTTATTAAGTTCTCACTTATACATTCTGAAAGTGTATATTCTGCTTTTAATACGTAAAAGATGAGATCTTTTTTTTAACTGAATGTAATTATTTTTGTGTATACAGTACATTAACAACATTATCAAATGACTCAGTCACTTTTTAACACCATTTTTCTAGCGTGATCCTTAAAACCATCTATAGTTCCAGGCTGAAGCCCAGCTACGATAGCATGATGTTTGTTGTTATGAACTCGACAACTGTCCTCTTTCAAAAACAGTTTTTAAATGGCAAGTTCCATTGATTTCCAGCCACCGCAATGTCCTGAATTTGTTTCAAGATGATCTAAGCACACTGAGTCATTTACAAGCAAAACACACCGCTGATGCTGATGATACCAGTAATTTAGCAGACTATGCTAGATAGTTCCTGTAAGAGACCTCTATGGATAGTCCAAAAAAGTCCAAAATCAGCAAACTAATGAAAGCTACAGCAAAGTAGAAAGCTCCAGCTCCTCTTAAAACATGACATAACGTAGTGACAGCGAGAGGAGTTGGGACCACTGACTCTATTTATATGATATGTACACGCACTGGTTGGAACATGCAGCCTCTGGGCCTCATTCCCCAATCGTTCTTAAGAAGAAATTTCTTGCAGTCTTCACAAAGATTTTGACATTCACCAGCGTTTTCTCAATTGAGATTTGTTCTTAGGTAAAAACAGAATCTGTGCATAATCAACAGCACAATGGTGTAAACAATTCTGTGGTTTAAGAACATGTCAGGAATCTGACGTAGACTTTTTCTTAAGACCTTCCTCAAGAGCAAATTTTAGAAAAAAACTTAGGAAGATATTGGTGAATGAGGCCCATTGTTATTCTCATTGGGCAAGAAATTTTAGGTTTAGGTTCATAAAAAGAGATTTAATTTGAATTATACAGCAAAACAAAAGTATTAACTTGAATTAAAGCTAGCTAACGTGTCGCATATGGAGGAGGAGGATGCCAACCCAGGGTATGTTTGACAAGAGAGGGCAAAAAAAGTTGTATGATTAGGATGCAACAGTGGTGACATTTCGCCCGTGGGAATTGTGATGGACTCTGAGACGGAGTCCAACACACACATACACATGCATGTACACACCCACACAGTCTCCTGTGTGTCCCTGGCTCCTCTGGGGCCTCCTGAACAGAACACACTCCCTGCGGAGTCCAACACACGCGAGTAAGGAGAACCTGCAGAGGGCCGGCAGACGCTCTAATCAGGCTGAGCTGCCAGCCGCCTGTCACTACACTGCCAGCAGCACCGTAGGGAGGGAGAGAGAGAGAGAGAGAGAGAGAGAGAGAGACAGAAAAAGAGAGAGAGAAAGAGAGAGAGAGGATGGCAAGGGACGCAAGAAAGCTTAGAGAGCCAGAGTGATGGACAGGGAAAGTGAGAGAAAGACAGCAAAGGGACAGGAGAGAGAGGGAGAGAGATGGAGAGATAGCGAGAGAGTGATAGGGTCTGACGGACGAGGTGAGAGAGAGGTGACAGAGAGAGCCACAGGGAAAGAAAGAGGGATGGGGGGACGGTGCCTGTGGCCGAATACTCAGAGGCTGATGGACAGGGACGCGGAGGTGACTCACCTGCGGCTGATGACGAAGACTCCGATGAAGATGAGCAGCAGAATCACACTGCCGATGACGGACACCAGCAGCACTGTGGAATTAGCTCCATCTCCAATGATAGGGGAAGGAACTGAAGGCAAAAAACAACAGCAAAGCACAATTCAGCAAATCTTTACTAGATACAGCTTCATAAGAATCCTCACTTACCAGTAAATGTGTCTTAGATTGTTTAATCAAAATTTTTCATCAGCTACATAAAAAAACTACTAAAAAAACCAAAACCAAAACAATCTGTTTGCTTTCTCGTGGGTGTAACTCTGAAGTTGCCTGAGTAGATTCCCCAATCTCATTTCCGTAACAAACTAAGAGCCTTGTTTTATGAGCCTCATTATAAATCTTCCTATTCATTAAGAATCCTATCGTGCATTTTCAAACCGCTTTCCTTCTCGTCTCTCCAGAATTCCGTCTGTTCCCGTGCTTGTCTGTTCCGTTTAAGTGCCAATTTAAAAAAAAAAAGGCACTAGGCAAACAAAAGAGCTATCTGTTCAAAAAGAAGTTTGCAGCAAGAGGTCTGTAATTATGTATACATCAGCTGGTTTCCGACAGAGAGAAAAAGAGATCCACCCTGAAACTCAACACTCGTGTCTATCACTGTGGGAACTCAACCACGTGGTTTCTTTGTCGTCCGCCTGTCTTGTCTGCACATACACGCACACACACATACACAGACGAGTGCCTGCTAAAGCGTAACCCACCTGAATTGGTCATGAATTCGAAAGGGGCGCTGAATTCTCCGTAGCCGGCGGCAGTGCGAGCGCGCACGTGAAAGACGTAGGAGGTGAGTGGGCTCAGGCCTTTGATGTCGGCGCTGCGGGACGACGTCTTCATTATCCGATAACTGCGTTCGTTTTGATCCTGGTTAGACGAGGGAGACAGCCAAATGTTAAAATGCCTATATTCTAGAATTTTCTTTCCCTGTTGCCCACTTTGGCAAAAGCAGTACTAAAAACATTTAATTAAGATTTAGACAATCATTTTCCAACCACTCTTAATCTCTCTCGATATTAAATAGACTGTTTTTTTGTTACTGATGTATCTTTTTCTGTAATTGTCTGTCCTGTACTGTGCCTCGTTCACAAAGCAAGGAAGCTAAATCCTGCCTACAATTTACGCTTATATAACTCTGCTACAGACTGTCTGCAGTAACAACACTGTTTATCACTTCAATGCAAATGGGCAGCTAAACTGCTGAAGTCATATGTAAATGTGTTCACAGTTGTCACAGTGCAACCATAATAGATTCAAAACAAGCTGTTTTTGCAGCATAGTTTCCATGTTTTGGGACTGTAGCAATGCTTACATGGTACATTTCATTTAAAAAATGCAAGGAAAATCCAGCTGCCCTTCTAATCAACCAACGTGACTGGCCGCTTGGTCTGTTGCATTTGGAGCCAGCAGCTGATGAAACACTGCGATCAAACAAAAGGGATTCGCTGAAGGTCTGACATGAAAAGTACAGGGAAGCTTTTGTAGGGGGAAACCACAACCACGTTGTTCGAAAAACAGGGCGGCCATCTTTGTTTGCTCTTTCTCCCGCGGGTGTAACCTGAAGTTGCTTGTGTAGAAATCCCCTGCCTCATCTCTGCATTCAAACCACTTAGGATACCGTCAGATCTGCACCAAAGCAAGCAAAGCGACTTGGTTTAACTGAAGGTTTTCCTTTTTTCTCCATGTCCCCTAATGTTCGGCTTGTAGCTGTTGGAGCATAATACGAGCCGCTCTGTGTGAGTGTGTAAGGGAGAGCGAGAGAGAACGGAATCTGACCATGGCTGCTCTGTAATCACTCAACCAGGCAGAGGAGAGAACACAGCAGGAGAGGAGAGGAGAAGAGAGAGGAGCGCTATCCTCCCTCCATCTCTCTTTCCCTGCAATTCCTCTCTCTCTCTCCCTCATCCACCCCATGCTGTCTCTCCATCCGCCAGGCACTGGCCTTCACCTTCAGATCGGAACTACGTTATCCACAACTCTCTTTTTTGATGTGCTCGGCATCACGCTGTTCACTCTGATGGCTTGAACTACACTTCCCAGATGGCCTTGCTCTTTTTTTTTCGCGGTGCTTGACCCCCTGCCTCCAGCGTAAAGGCAGCCTGATCGGTTATGACCCTGGATTACGGATTACATCTCTCATGCCATCTCCTCACCTTCTCATAGTACTTGACCTCGTATTCCAGGATGACTCCGTTAGGCCTCTCGGGCTGCTGCCATGCCAGAGACACAGCATGCCTGGTGATGTCCTTGGCCTGGATGGAAGTAACCGGAGAGGGAGCTGGACGGGGGAAAAAAAAGAAGAAAAAAAACACACAGACTTTGAGAATAAAGCCTCAGTGTAGCTACGAGCTCTCCCTCAGCTGCCTCTTCCAGTTGATTCTGGTCCCAGTTCACAGAAAGACAAACACATTAGCGCCATAAAGCTATAAAGGATTACGGAGGCGGGGAGATATTTGCGTTGTCGTGCCGAGAGACCCTTTGGAACATTGCTAGCTAGCCTCCCCCATTAATTAGCCCTGGGTTAGACAGCAGCGATTACGGCAACAGCTGATCGATATGCGTTTCAGTCCCCCCCCCTCCCAACCAGAAGGCCACTTTCGCCAACTCACGGCACCCTACATGACCATTATAACAGCAAGACTGCTTGGTTTTCTCTGAGAAAAAGGCAGCGGCCCCAGAGCTTTTATTTTCCCTCATAACTAGACTTTATTATTTCAGCGAGTCTATTGACACAGTAATGTAGCAAGCATGAGCTTTATCTGTAATCTATATGGCTTTATCAATGGTGCTGTGCTGTTGCCAAGGCGAGGATTAAATCCAAGCTCCTTGGGCCACTGCTGGCTAAAGCTGTCTTAGACATTACCTCCCTCTGCTCACCTGAGATCAGTCTCAGCTTATCGGTACAGATAGATACAGTGAGGACTCAAGCTGGGGAAGCTGATTTGACATCTGCAACTTAGAGGAAAGGGTCATAAAAGTCCAGCTGTGAGTGGGTTGTAAAAGCTAAAAAGACAGACTGAAGTAGGTGAGTGCCTGACCAAAGTACACAAGGACAGGTGTGGCTGTCATTAGTAAGGAAGCCCACAGACACAGTGACACAAAGTGAGGTGAGGCAGAAAGAGTGACAAGGCTAGTAACTACACAAAGCCAGACACAAAGCCCCTTCCTGCCTCGCACGTCTTCAACAACCCAAAATTAAACACCTTGTAAAACTTTACAGACTGTTCAGGACAAACAAATGTAACCAACATTCGCAATATCCAGTCTGCATTACTTCATGAATAGCATTCACATAACCTGCGGATACGGGATTGCAAATCACTGGCCAATTTATTAGAAACCTCCACCTTGCTGGCGCACAGTTAGAGACGGTAGCCGATCTGTTGACGCACAGCTTGTGTGAGTCATCCTCTAGCCTACAACTTTAAAAAGGGATTCTTCAATGGTTGTTCAGTAAAGGCAATGTTTATAGTAGAGCTGTGACAATTCAAAGGACCATTTGAATGCATAATAGGGTCTTTGCATGGTTAGGGTTATTGTCTATAATGGAAAAACTGGGTCATCTTATCCACAAAGGGCTGGTGTGGCTGCAGGTTTTCATTCCAATCAAGCAAATGCACACCTGATTCCACATGTCTAATCAGTTGGTCTCAGTCTTTAAACAAATGATTAGTGTGATGTGTGTTCTGTTGTGTTTGGCTGGAACTGCAGCCACATCAGCCCTTTGCAGAGGTGACCCCTGTTCTAGCCCTTCATCCATAGTCATTTTCTGACCACAGAACTGATCTTTGCTGAATATTTTTGAGTGGTGATAGCTAAACATAAACAACCATTACCAGTAAAAAATCATAATGCTCAACCAGCACACACTCACCAGCCTGGTTGGTGGTGACCGTGACAGACACGGCCTGCTCAGGGCTGGGGCTCTGCTGGGACACCCCATTGACAGCCCACACTTGGAAGGTGTAGTTGGTATGTGCCTGGAGCTCATTGATGGAGACACGAGTAGTACGCAGGCTCAGCTGCTGGGGTGAATAGTGGACGCCGCTACCACAGGGCTGACACCGCTGACCATCCGGACCGCACCGCTTGCACACCACGTTATAGGTCAGATCCTGTCTCCCGCCTGATGACGCTGGGGGCGACCACTCCAGATTGACTGATGTCTCATTCACATTGGAGATGAGGTGCTGTGGGGCGGACGGAGGCTCTAGAGGGACAAAAATGTATGAGTACGTCTCTGATCTCACAAGGATTTAGTTACAGTTATTATTCTGTTCATCATTAAATCTCAAATTTCACCACAAATTTATTTGATTATTGTAGTATAATTTAGAGTTGGTTCTCTAAATATGTGAAGGTCACTGTTTAGCCAGTATGTGAATATAGATAATAACAGAAATTTTTTATTGTTGTGTTTGAAAATAGCTCAACAATTTTATTCCGGGCAAAAAATGCATATAATAATATTGAAAATTATGACAATAAACTGTCACTGATTTTATCATTCTAAAATCAACATAGTTGATTCACCAACTTTAGACTGACGCATCGTTCATAATGTTTTATAGACCTAGTCCTAGAAGAGCCCTATGAAAAGCTTTTCCAGCTCTAACACAACTGACTCAACCCATCAGCCTACTATGAACAGCTAAATTGAAAGTGTTGGATTAAGAAAAATGCAAAATGCATAGCCAGGGGGTCTCTGAGAGTCAGACTAGAAAATGCTCTTATGTGTGAAGTCCTTTGCTGGAGCTAGAACAGGGTGCAACGGGTTTTGATCAAAGTCATTCCATATGTGAATATTGAGGTCAGTGTTTATTCAGCATGGGAAAATGAGAGAGAAAGAAACGAGGGCATATGCAGACACTTGCATGCCCTTTTATTTCGTGTTCGAGTATGTGTGTGTGCGCGTTATGTGCTGCTGTTTTTCTCTGTGGTGTTTCTGTAAACCAGCCGATGCTGAATTTAGGCGTAATTAAGTTTATGACAAACCATCACCACAGGCATTCAACACTGTTTGCTCTCTCCCTAAGACATGGTTACCAAAAGAGAGAGAGAGAGCAAGAGAGAGAGAGAGATGATCAGCATCTCCATAACTGAGCGGGTGGCTGATAGGAATCCTATTAATGCTAATTGCTTTGCCCTCACTGCTGCCTCCTGTTTAGCACATGCATACACACATGCACACACACGCACACACACATACACACTTGTGCCGGTGATCAGAAACGACACACACACACACACACACCTGTGCATGACTTCCCCAAAGACAAAGGAACTCTCTCATGACATCACAGGCAAATCATCACAGGCACCCAAAATCACTCATTAAACTAGAGCTGCCAAAATTAATTGATTTAACAGAAAAAATCATAAGTTGGCAGTTTCAATCACTTTAATGTCTCTCTTACAGTAAGAAACACAGCCTGATTGACACAAATTAGACATTTATATGCATTTTTACCACATTTTTTAGTTGATCCAATAAACTACCTAAGATCTTTTGAAAGACTCTGCATGGCTTGTTATTGTAAATCCATTTTCATTCTTTTTAAACTCGTCAAAAATAATCAGTAGATTGTGGACTCATGAGCTCGTATGTGATACACCATCATCCGATCACGTTCCCAGGCTATCGCTGCTTGACAACAGTATCATAAGGGAACATGTGGTGGCAGACAAGTAAGCTCCTCTTTCCAAACAAGTAAATAAATAAATAAACGCCTAAGCAAATACATGTGCATGTAGGAGTATGGTACCACAAATATTGCCTAATAGGCTGCTGTTGAGATTCACATCACCCTTCTCCAATAACCCATTTCAGCACATCAAGTAATGGTAATACTACATGGCTTGTGTTTCTGGTCAGAATCTTGCAAACTTGGTAAGTTAACTTATTACTCACTTTGGTATGTTTGGTATAGGTTGGTAAAATCGCACTTTTACAACCTTTAAATGAAGCTTACTGTGTTAAGGCATCCTATGAAGTACTGTTACTGTAGACTACTTTTGCTATTAGGCTGAGCTATATCTCTTATGTATTTATTTATTTTTATTGATGTATTAAACAACTTCAGTGGAGACACAGTGGCGGTCAGTGCTGTTCGCAAAGGAAGACGCACGGCACGGTTCTGTTTAGGAAGCATAATCACAAAAAGTGCTGATGCCTGATAATACTGTAAAACCAGCTCCAGCCTAGTGGATCATCTGATTACTGTTGCAATCAGTGGTGACAACCCTACATCAAACACATTCTCATCCCCAGCCAACACTGACGACTTTTGTATTTCGATCGCCACGTTCGACACAGCAGCATCGTTAACCAGCTTTGCAGGCGCCATATTGTGAAAGCCATTTTCCTTATGGATCTTCTAAAAGATTCAAATACTCCAAATGCATATTTGATACCGTGTGTGGATTATATCGCCTCCATTCTGTCCTGGAGTTCAGTGTGAACGGTCTTTAAACTCTATTTAACCTGTATTAGCGGCGAGGCGGCGGTGGTACCAGTCTGTGAACCGAGAGCGCTCCGCTGTGGCGCAGAGCCACCGGCTCTGTGATTGACAGCGGCTGATTAAGTCGGCTGGCTTCGCCGCATTTTAATACGATAAGGTGAGAGAGAGGTTCAGCTGGGTGAGCGTAATGGGGTCAGCTCAACCACCCTGTCTCTCTCGCTCACGCTATTGCATGCTCTCTCTCTCTTTCTCTCACTCACTCACTCTCTCTTTCTCTCTCTTTTCACTGCTCACTCTCTTTATCTGAGTCGCCGGAGCTCGTGCAGAGTGTTGGTGTCGAGTGTGAGGCCGAGGTTTTTTAGAAAGACAGCAGGAGATATGAGAGAAGTAGTTAAAGAGCGCAAGTAAAGGAGGAGGAAAAAGGAGAAAAAGTGTAAGAGAGAGAGAAAAAGAGAGAGAGAGAGAGAGAGAGAGAGAGAGAGAGAAAGAGAGAGAGAGAGAGAAAATGCCACAGCTTGAGGGAAAGTGAGAAGGTACACTGATAATATAGTATCAGCACTAGGGCTGAGTATTAAAACTCAATACTTTTATGGTACCGAACGTAATACTCTAATACACCGATATATAAGATAATATTCTAATAAATAATATTTCAATATCCAAGTTGTTGGTCTTGGCATCCATGGGCCAGTAGGCATGTCTGATCCAAAATACAGACTGCTGACCAGCTGTCTATATTACATTTATTAACGTAATATAGATTTATTAGTGTAATTCTAGATTAGTTTGCAGTCTGCTTCAGTAAAATATACCCATTTCTGGCTTCTCATTTCTGGTTTAAGTCACACTTTTTCGGTTTGTAATTAAAAAGCAGGCATCGGAAGTCATTCTGGACCCTTTCCATTGGTCCATTTGTCATGAAATATTCACCCAATGGAGTAAGGTCTCGATACGTAAATATAAACGTGTTCAGTTACCCATATGTGGGTGTAGATGTGTCTCAAAAGTTAAGAATGGAATGAAAATGAAAAGTAAAGAAGACAGACGACAGAAGAGATTAAACCAAGGGTGCCACATTCAAAGGATCCTACAAAATGGGACAGGCTTTAAAGATATAAAGGCTGAGAAATGCACCCTTGAAGGGCTGGTGTATCCTTCACCCAGAATCCTTCACGAGCAGTGCAAAACTATTTTTGTGAAACGCCAGACAGAAATGCGAGTGGCAAGATGGTATGGCATTAAGGTTTGTAATAAAACATAATGCAAAATTTAAATCCATCGTTTTTCACCACAACACGTTCTAAGGACGTCTCAATTGTGTGTGAGCACTAAAAAGAAACATTCAGACACCAATGCTAGTGAGGTCTCTTCTGACTCAGCCTTGATTTTGAGACATGGCTTATGTGTTTATGACTGACGTATGACAAACACACTTTAATCCTTTGACAACACTGTAATTTAATACAGTCAATATGGCCAACAAAGCTCCCTTGAGCAAAGAGAGAGAAATAAAGCTCAATTTCAGACCTGAAAGAAAAGAATTACTGGTCAGCACAGACACACACATTCACTTACTTGTCATTAGTGGTGGGAGTTTTGTCTGGTGGGGGCTGCTCTGTCTCTCACTGATCATTCACACACTCACTCACTCACACACACCGTGATCTGGCTCTGCTCTCTGTGTTCTGATCACTGTACTCTTAACACACAAAACGTCAACTGCTGGCATTTTGCACCTATTTATCATGCAAACCGCACATACGTACGTGTGTGGTTTGCATGTAACTTTGCTATCAACTCTGTGTGTCCACCCAGAGCCGTGGCATGCTGGCTGCAGGCGCTCCAGTGCAGGGCCTCTGATTAACAAGCTGAACACTGTTATCATGTGTAAGTCACCTCAGGCACTGACACACATGTCTATCATAGGACTTCCCTGACTCACTCACAGAGGGTGTAATTCAGTTATGCATCTTTAGAAAACGATACACTAAATCATTGAATCTCAAATTTCAGCACGATTCTATTGTATTCAGTTTGGCTCAGATTCTTTAGAAAACAATTCAATGTATCATACGATCACAAATTTCAGCACGATGTGATTCAATTCTGATTCAGATTCTTTATTAAACTAATGAACGTATCACGAAATCTCAAATTCCTCCAAAATTCAATTCCAATTCTGATTCTTTAGGAAACAAGTGAACACTTGAATTTTGAATTTAAAATCCCACTACAGTTCAATTCCATCTCTTATTCGTCGGGAAACAACTCAACGCACCATGAAATCTCGAATTTCGCCACAATTCATTTCTAACTTTTTATGGAACAACTGAACATATTACAAAATCTTATAATTCAACATGATTCAATGCAATTCAATTTGACATGATTGCGATTCTTCAGGAAACAATGAACGCATCGTAAAATCTCTAATTTCACTACAATTTCATTCCAATTCTGACTCAGCTCAGTTTGATTATTTCGGTCTTATTAAATTGTTTTCAAAAATACACAAAATATATAGATGTGACTGGAGGGACTATTTACACAGTAGTAGAAAACAGACAATTTAAATTCACTTCCCACACATAAATATTGAATTTTAGGCTAAAAAACGAGCGCATACTTTATTTCAAAATCGATCCAGTTGAGTCACGATCTTTAGACTCATGCATCAAACTATGCTTACACATTCTCACAGTCAACTAAGAGTTAACACCTATTTTCCTGCACACATGCATTTTTACAAGGATCAGATAATCATGGGATTGGAACCTGATTAGCATGTGCTAATCGCTGTTTGTCAGAGCCATTGCGACAAGAGTTAAACTAGTGTGTGAACTGAACAGAAGGCTGTAACAGTCTCTACAGCTTGGTTGGTTACATGTAAGTCTTGTCTCATGAATGAACCCCCTGACCACTGAGCAAAATATCTAACCTCGCTGACCTGCATATGGAGAGAACTGGACAATGAAAACCACAAGTTTTCCAATCTAATGTGCTTTTTATAGGCAATGTCCCAAAGCAGTATGGCAGTAAAAGTTCAACATGAACTAGGTGTGTCCTGGGCACTGTGGCGTTAGTTCTGACCTAGTTCTGACTACCATAATAACTTTGAAATGGTTTGTATGGTTTGCTGAAGTGTAGGAGGAATGAACAGCACACTTACGAGTGCAGGGCATGGAGGCTGGGTCCGTCTCAGAGCGGAAGTAGCCCTTGTCGCATGTGCAGGATGTGGAGCCCTCTCGGACAGAGTAGCTGTGAAGAGGGCACTTTGAACAGGTGCTGTCCGTAGCCAAGGCCCTGTAGTAGCCAATCTTACAGGCTGAAACAAAAGAAAGAAAGAAATTAAACCAATCGATATTAAACCAGCTCTAATTTCCATTTTAACTTGCACAATATATTGTATAACTGTTTTCGCAACATTGGACTTTGCAACATCTGGCTGTAGTTTGTGAAGAGATTGTGGGTCTGTAAAAGGGGAGAGAACTCAGAAAATTTGAGCTGAAGCTCTGGGCAGCTTCTGTTTTACTAGAAGGCTGGGGCACCATTTGATGAACGGAGTTACGAATGAGGAACAGGGAAGAGATGGAGAGTGAAAACTTCACAGGAAATAGAAGGTGGAGACGGAAATTAATAGGATGTTAACTCCACATAGTAAAAGGTGGTTTGATGTTTCAGATGAGTTTCTATAGTTCTTGATGAACAACAGAATTCACGTTTTCTAACAATATTAATTTTGGTCAAAATAGTGCAAACAACTCTTCAACTTATATATAATATGTAACTAATGTGTAATAACAAGGCATGCGGCAATCACAATATGTAGCAAGATAATCCCAATACTGTATTTCGTCCATATTATGTAGACCTAAGATGGGCATTTCTCTTTTGTTATGCATGTGCGTGTGTTTACGTGGTTGCCAGGCCGGGCCTGTGGAATGGAGCTCTACAGTAGTGCTAAGGAATGTTTCAATGAGAGAGTGAGTGCTGTGGGTTTATGACACTCTAATTAACAGAGGAAGCGATAGCAGAGGAATGCACCCTGTCTTTAATCCCAACACCCGAGCCACACATTCACACACACATACACTCTGTCACTGACACCACAGCCTTCTCATCTTATTCTTCTTATTTACTTTCCTGGTCCTCTTCTCGCCATCTATCTGCGTCAGCATTGTCCCCTCTACTTTTCCTTTTCAGTTCTTTCTCAGCCTGCCTTGCTATTTTTTATAAAATAAAGACACAGACACAAACAAACCTATTCTTCTTTCGGGGACACGGACAAAGGAGCGCTTTGAGGTATTTTATTGACGGCTTTTACAGCGCCATCGATACCGCGCAAGGCTGATAGCGTTTGTGCATGCACATAGAAGGGCTATTTATGACATTTATCTAAGAGTTTATTGATTCATATGTTGTTTTCTTGTGGTTCCATTTTAACAGCTGTCCTTCCCCAAGTGGCCCTATCAGTGTAAGTGTTCGGTATGGAGAGTTACAAAATCACAAATGCACTTAGCGAAGAATTATGGCCGACAAATGCGCAACGTTCAAAGGGTCAGTGAGAGAAATTAAATAAATAAGGTTTCAAAGGCCACAAATTTAACTGAACTGCCAGACGGGACAAGCCTGTGCTCACTGACAACCTGTTGAAGCCATGTTTCCTTTTTTACGATTACACCAAGACAGAAGCCTCTAGAAGCAAACCGCCTCAAACAAGTGTCTATTAATCTCTCTCTTTTCTCTCTCTGCCTCCTCTTAATCGTGTAAAGTGACGTGACGCCCTGGGGAGCCGGATTAACACGCGCCCGCGGGGGCCCCCCCACCTTTTCCCCCATGTATCTCTCCATCTCCATCCCTCTATCATAGTCTGCCCAGGGGCCAATCTCTGGCAATCAGCCGCTATAGCGAGCGCGATCAGGGCCAGGCAGCTAACTATGAAAGGAGATTAGCACCTTTTTTTGTCATCCTCTCAAACGGGCTTGCTATTGAAACAGCAGGGGAGGGAGAGAAGGAGAGATAGGAAGAGCGGATGCAGCCCAGGGTCACGACCTCAGGAGAACGGCGTGCTTTGTGGCCGTGCGCTGGAGGGGAAAAGGAGGGAGACGGAGAGTCCATCTGACAAGCTTGGGATCTTTTTAACAGAAGCTGAAGGAGAGAGTATTAATTGGAGGAGCTCCCTAGGAAGCTTAAGGTAGGTGGATTAAAGCGATACTTTGGTGAAAAACCTAATTTACTCAAATACCTTTTACCTCAAATGTAGCTGGGTTCAACCAAGACTGTTTGGTGTCTGCTTTTTCAGTTTTGCTCTGGAGCTAATAGTAATAGATAAAGTAATAGAAGCTTATAACTGTCAATTAGCATCGCACAAACTGCTAAATCATCACATACTTGTCTTAAAATGAACTGAATTATTAGGTAATCTCAAATAGACTTGCTTATGTGGCTTCTGACACTGTATGTCTCTCACACTGTATATTATTATATTGACATCTTATATAATACTGGAGAATTTGTTGCACAGCTAAAAGCGGTAGTAGGTGTTATCTTGAAGCCTCAATTTTGACTGTTCTTTTGCCCATTTTTATAGATATCAGTATGTTATACAGTCTCAGCTTTAGCTCCACTGCATTAAACTTAAACTGAATTCAGAACTTATCTCCAATAGTCTCAAGTGCTAATGCCCTCCACCTGCTTCAAGGTCTGTACTCTGGCCTTATCTCCTGGGCAGCTGTCTCCTCTTCCTCCCTTCCTAACTGTGCTTTTATCCCACAATTTCTCCCCCCTACCGCCTCCTAAAATCCCTATCACAGAGACCCCTGGCTTCCCTGAGCCTCTGACCGCTGAGCTGGACAATAGCCGGACAGTCTCGGCCTCACTGCCCAGGCCTGAAGTGATGAGCTCTCTGCTTGTCCTCTAATGGAGCTGTAATTACCAGCCGCTGGCTGCTTACTCAAGGGTCAGCGCTTCTCTTCTACTCGTAGCAGAGCAGTGCAGCATGGGAGCTTTCAGAGTATTTTACGGGGTTTAAAAGGTCTGCCTGTTCACCTGTTGTCCAGCGCCTGAAGAAAAGGCGAGAGCAGAACTGGGGTACAAAGGATGTTCAGGATATTGAGTTTTCAGTTAAAGAGATTGGACACCACTGTGTTGGGAGGTTTGCGCGTTAGTTGAGGTTCACCAGGAGATGCTTTTAAAGAGAAGAGAAGAATTTGGATTGGAGTGGTGGGTAATCAGATGATGCCCAATAGGACAGATAGAGAACAATATTGTGGTAAATTAAAGCAATAAACCACAAGAGGCTAATGTCCTTAGTTAGGAATTATGGCTAATAAATGTGCAATGTTTGAAGGGTCAGCGGGAGAAAAGAAATCAATGAGGTTGTCCATGCCGGAAGGATTCAATTAAGTTTTACAGCTACTATGATTAAGAGGAGTTATCTATTATTCCGCCAAGCAATGTAGTCTGTTAACAGTGGGCCACGGCTGCAAAGCAACATAATCACTCTTCATCTATCTTCACAACAAATTTTGGCGCATTAATACAGAATTCAACTGATGCGTCTGCTGTTTATATTGTCTTCAAACATGCCTGAAATGTGGCTCAGCCAATCATCTGTTTAATAAAAGCCATCAAAGACTTTATTCATTCAGGCATCCAAAAAATGTCCAAGTAGAGAAGACTGGGTGAGAAGAAAAACAAAGAGAAAGAAAGAAAGATCAGAGAGCAAAGTGAAGTCAGTGTTGGGTGGTCTTCTGAGTTTGTGTTTCCTTTGGAAACGCTGCACTGCTTTATCATTTCCAAGTTACGTTTCTCACTTACACACACACACACACACACAGACACACAAGTGAGGTGATGCCACATACTCAGTTTTCCACAGGCCCAGCCGCCCCCCTCCACTCTTTTCCAATCAGCCAACCCATAATCAAAATGCATCTAATAAACTCTCAATTTTACAACACTCGAAATATGGCTGAGAAATGGATTGAAATATTAGGAGTAAATTATGAGCATGCCAGACAGCTTGGCTCCTCTCCCAGAAGCCGACTGCTAAGACACACAGAAGGATTTGGGCCGTGCTGCAACATTACTTCCATTCTCATGACAAAATAATATGTATTATCCTATCTGTAATACACAACGGCAAGCAATGCACTGAAGCCCCTCCATGTACAGAGACCCATATACACCCACGAGTTTGCTCCTGGCAGAGAAAGTGTCTTTTCAGACCTTGTGGTCTTATCTCTGTTAATGGCTAACACATCTGTGGCAGGTTTATGACAGGGGCTTATCTCTTGTAGCCACTACAGGGCAAATAAAGCCCCCTACCACACACACACACACACACTCTGCCCCTCACGTTACTGTAATGTGATCAAACACAAAGGGTTTAGATCTGGATTTCAAGGACTTTTCACTTCATAGCTGTCTTGTAACCCTTGAAATAGTGCCACTTCTGTCCAGATTTCAGTGCATGGATTGTCCACTTTATTAGAAACACCTACGTTGTATTCCGTCTCACTGGCCAAAAGCCTGGAAACCTACATTATAGGTGTACATTTACAGACTGTAGCATTTACAGACTGTAGCACATCTGCTGTAAGCCGTCCTATAATCCATTCATCATTTGTCAGGTTTTGACCACAGGACCACCTGCTGACCAGATATTGTTTGGAAGGTGGACCATTCTCAACTCAATAGTGACTAACATGGTAGTGCCTGTGGTGCTGGTACCAGTGTTGCTAGGCCTTTTATACCTGTCAGTGTCACTGCTTGATCGAGACTGGACCACCACTCAAAAATGGCCACCCATAGGAAAGAAAAATCCAAAATAAGATCTTCATAATAGGGCTGTAGTTTATCTTTACACAACAATGAGATCAGATTAAACAACAATGGAGACTTTTGCTTAACCCTATGGGGTCCTCAACCTTACCCATGCGTCAAATTCAATGTTTCTATACATGTTTATGTGTCTTTGCGGTAATACAGCACAGAAATATGGTTCAAACGTACATAAAAAGGCCAACGTACAAGCAAAAGCATTATCCTCTGGGTAGCCAAGAGCAGCTCTGTGGTCAGAAACTGACCAATGATGAAAGGCTGGGATAGGGGTGTCAAATTCAGTTCTTGCTGGGCTACAGCTCTTGCAGAGATGAACGATTTCTCTCTGAATTAAAATTACTAATTACTAAGGCCAAGGTAAATGAAGCTGATAGTTGAATCAGACATGTTTAATAAGGTAGAATGCAAAGGGTCTGCAGTGCTGTGGCCCACCAGGACTGACATGTGGGCTACGGGATGGCTAATCATCAGATGCGCTAC